AAATTATTTTTATATAATATTATTTTTTTTATAATTTATTATATCTTATATTAAGATTTTTTATAACTTACTAATTTTTTAGAAGAACGTATCCCATATATTTTAATGCCGTATTCTCTTAATTAGGATATAACAATCTTTTCTTAACATTTTCTTTTTTATTTCAATGCACATGTGTGTAAAATGAAAATGTTGGATTTAGTGATAAATGTGAAGTAGTGAAGGAGCAAAATGCGCTAAAGATATATATGTAAAAAACACATGTTGAAAATACGGAAAAAAATAAGGGTGTCAATGATATGAAGAATCGATTATAATAATCGATTGTTTAAAAAAATTCATATTACATTATTTTAATAATTAATATCATGCAATTATTACAAGATTGAGCGATATCGAGATTCGTAGACGCCGTTCTGCATAATTTTTGTAATTCTTTCCAAGATCCTCGCACACAAATTTATTGTTACGCTATTATTATTAAGTATAAACAAGCCCTTTAAAATTAAATGAATAGATATTATTTAAGAAAGTTTATATATAAGAAATATTTAATTATATATATTTAACTTACAATAGAATTAATAGATACTTTTTTTTTAAATTTATACATATATATAAAGTGTCTATTAATTCTATCATCAAAAACGCACGTAACTTCCGCGTTATTTTCAACGTTACGTTGTACAAGACAAACGGTAGATTTGTAGACACGGGTCACAAAAGCCAAGAAAAATGTAAGTATGACGTGACACCACGTGGTATCCCACTTCTATAGTATTTTAGCATTATTCTGATGACGGTCATTCTTTCGCGGCAGGATACGATTGATTGTATAGGCGCCATCCGAACTCAGCGACTACATTCTTTTTTTTTTAGTCCCGTTCCCCTCCTCCCTTCGTTCCCCGCTATTCTTCAAGCACTTCCCTGATTTCTTCAAAGGTACATTCAAATTCTTCTCCTTATTCTAATGATTTTGAAAGAGATTCAAACATTTTTATTCGTGTAAATCTATAGCATTTTTTTTTATAAGGCGATCTTGTCAATGTCAAATTTATGTGTGATAATTGTTCTCGCAATTAAATTGCGTCTTCTCATCGTCGAAAACAAGTATATTGTGTCGTCGCTAAAGAATCGCTTTCAAAGACATTGTATATAAACACGATGCATGTTATAATAACAGCTATATAGTTGCATAAATAATTTTAATTTTTAGAAAAATATTGCATGTGTGATTTATCAGCTGATTTTGTCAAACGTCGTTTAAAGGAACGGGAGAGAAATGAAAACTGTAATTTACCGATGTTATCTCGTTTCATCTTTGTTTCGGATCTACCGCTGATATTTATAAGTGAAACGGTAATCTATTTCTCTTCCAAGAACTGTCTCGTAAATTTTTCCGGCGTCTCGTCAAGGTCGAAAACTAGACGACAATACGAGCGAATGACTTTCGGCATCAAAGCTCGAGCGCAACCAGATGTCGGTCAGATGTAAAGCTTTCTAAAGTGTCAGGTAAAAAGATTCGCTCGTACGAGAAATGGTGAGGATGACTCACAAAGCGAAGCGAGGCAACGCTATATAATTCGATATTATTTCCCCTCGATAAGACAGAAAACATGTAACATGTGTGCGTACGAGTTTATCCATATAAATGATATGAAAAATATCGCGTATTTTTCACATGTAAAGAATTTTTTTTTATTTTTTTCTCTTACAAAAGAAATTTTTTATTTAATATAATTTTGCTAGAAACTTATTAACAGGGTATCTATTCTCATCTTGTAAACAAATTTCCTGAAAGTTCCTTGATCTTCCAGATATCTTTATTCAAAATTCCAAATTAAAAGAAAAATCACAATAAAGAATATATACTGCATATTATTCAAAAATCAACAATAAAGAATCCTGAAAATTCCTTGATCTTCCAGATATCTTTATTCAAAATACCAGATTAAGAGAAAAATCACAATAAAGAAATATGTACTGCATATTATTCAAAATTCCAGATTAAGAGAAAACTCACAATAAAGAATATGTATTGCATATTCAATATTTCGTTAAGACATTGAATATATAAACAGAAACACATACACACGCAGAGATATATATTTATAATCAGAGTTGGATAAGTTAATTTTTTTCTTTTTTTTTTTAACTAAGTTAAGTTTAAAGTTAATGGCCCAAAAATTAACTAAATTTACGTTAAAAGTTACTTAAACAAAAATTAACTCAGTTAAAATTAAGTTGAAAAATTATTAACTCAAAATTAAAAGTTAATTCTTTATCCAAGAACGAATCGACACATTCGACAAATTTGTACGACAAATGAAATACTCGCATTACGATCAACTATTTTTACACGACTTTAATATTGATATAATTATTTTAATTAATGTAATTATTAATTTTAATTATTTTAACATTTTTAAAAAGAAATTAATAAGTTAACATTAATGCATTTAAAAATAACTAGTTTAAGTTAAAAGTTAACAGGTTTAAAATTAACTAAGTTAAAAATTATTAACTTTTCAACTTTTCAACTTAACTTTTAACTGTTTAATTAATTAATTACTACCCAACCCTGTTTATAATATATCTTAAAGAGACATAATTCACCACTTATTGACAAATTATCGACTGTTTACAATATAAAAATCAAAATTATCAAAGAGAGAATTAAAGAAAAAATTCCTTGAATTCCAATAAAATTCCACTGATTTCCTGATTTTTTTCAGGTACAAAAAAGATGCAGATTTTCCATGTTTGTCGAAGGAATAGACATCCTGTATTAAGATTAAAGATTCTGCTATATCGTAGCATGAGAATTTAACGGAAGTAAACATTCTCTTCTTCGCGACTCCGATTTAAATAACATCCTTCTTTTTCTTCGGCGAATCTCGATATCGCGTAATCATATCACGACGGAAGAAGCATGCGTTCTCCAGAAGAGGCAGAAGGAATCATTACCAGAAAAGGGTCTGTAGCCGGCGAGGAACCTTGCTCGCCACCACTTTACCAATCCGGTAGCCATGGGACCTTCATGCGTGCGTGCTTGCGTACGTGCGTGCGATCGTTTGTTCGTGCGTGCGTGCGTGCGTGCGTGCGTATGATCGGCGTGCGTGATCCCTCTACGCTTCTATCGCTCGCCCGTCGTTCTCTCGTAAACCCGACCCGGCGAACAACACTTTGTTCCTCCGTCAGTTACTAACACGCCATGAACCTGGATGCACGCGAGATATCCACGCTGTATTCTTTCGATCGGGATCAGATGATTAGTAGGCCTCCCTGTGTATAAACTCGACTCTCCCCACGCCGTGGTCGATCTGTCACTGCCCGGCGACGATATATATGACACACGTACAAATACACACAAACAAGTCCGGTCCTCCTTTTTACGTACGCACCATTGACATTCCGAGCGAGCGCTCGCTTTACAACAGACGACGACCGCCGCCGTCGTTGCACTCACGCACCGCACACACGTGCTCGTGACTGGCAGGCGGAGCCCGCCGAGCGAGCGGAGACCCGGGGCGAAAACTAGCGGGGCTTTCCCGGACCCGTGGACTTTTTACGGCACTCGTTAAGGGAACGTCGCGCGGAAGGAGCGTGCGTTTTCGTCGCTCGCGCATCGAAAACGAAACGAAAAATCTTGGTATCTCTCGTGCGGACGCGGAGGCCCGCTTCCTCTCGCGGCTCGGACACGACTACTACGGACGCTCGCCTAAAAGCGCGTTCCCCGTAATTCCCTACCCACCACCACCACCACCACCACCACCACCACCACCATCACCACACCACCACCACCACCACCACCACCACCACCACCACCACCACCACCACCACCACCACCACCACCACCACCACCACCACCACCACCACCACCACCACCACCACCACCACCACCACCACCACCACCACCACCACCACCACCACCACCACCACCACCACCACCACCACCATCACCATACCATCACCACCATCACAGTGGTGGCACCACTATCATTGTCGGCACGGCACCATCGTTGCAGCAGCCCATCACCATACGATCGCGCGGGGCCAGGCAGGCATGGGCAGGCAGAGAGCCCCGCGTTCGTGTCGGTGCCGGAGCCGAGGATACGGCGTATCCTGAAGGTAGGGAGGCGCGGCGACTCTCTTCTTCTCTCGCAGCATCCTCTCGCCGGTTCTCTTATTTTCTCCTTCTCCTTTGCATACCCGTTTGCCGGAGAGCGCGAGCGCTCTGTCTTCCTCCGAAAAGCGCACCGTACGAAGCCCGATTTACACGACCTAGAATTGTAACGGTTTGCTACTCTTTCTTGTATCCGTATATAATTTTGTAGACACGCACATTTTAAATTTTTTTTTTAAATTTATCTTGTATATCTGGGAAAAATATTAAAAAATGGTTAATAAATATCACCGATACACATCTGGCAAAAATAATTGTATGATAAGTTAACAGGAATGAGAACTAAAACAGAGCACACAATTCAATAATCATACTTTAGTTTGTTAATATTATTTTTAGTTTAATTTTTTCTTTTGGAATGAGGTCAAGTACTACGTACTCAAGTATTCTTATGCGGAATTTATGTGTGTATATGTGAGACATATCTCATGTAAATTAAACCTGAGTAAATTCAATTCAATTTAATTCAATTTACAAAAAGAAAAAATTATATTCTCTGATTAGGAAAATATTGTCTGCGATTAAAGCTCTCTCCGAGATAAGAGCCGATTATATAATGAGCCGGTGTGAATTATAATGAGAGATTTCAATTTTTTAAATATATATATATACATATATATAGTTATAATCCGTTAATTATATTTTAAATATATATATATAGTTCAAATTTTCGCAATGTACAAAGGAATTTTATAGACTATCGAGCCGTAATTATTTGAAATAGGAAAATAATTTGACTCTGAGTATTTTCGTGAATTATGGATCATGTAAAACGAGCTTAAAATGCCGAGGATTATTTTCGATGCGAGAATAAGAGACGACGCCTGTGGCGACGTCAAAATTTTGCAGTGACACATTAACATAAATTTCGCGGTATACATACGTCATAAAGAGATTGAGTTTTTTTCCCCAAAAATAATTGTTTCGTTCTTTATGATTTTTATATCACGCTCCGCGAGATATGTCGCATTTTGTATTGTCAAAATAAATCGGCAGCGGCGGCCGATCTTTGACTTCGTCGTTTCCGGAGTAGTATGCAAAACGACGTCACGCCGAGCATCAGAAATTACGAACGGCGCGTGTTACCGTGTTTGGATTCTGACGTACATACCCCTTGTGAATGTCTCTCTGTGGGAAAATAATTTTCACGGCGATTTTCAAAAGCAATCTCTCGCCTTCGCAAATTACGGAGATTTAAAAACAACGGACTTGAAACATTGTTGTGTTCTCCAACTTTACTTAATTAAGTTAAATAATAAAGAGATGGATCAAATTGCTGTCCGAGAGATCGTACTCGTAAGGTAGACGTAGATAAAGCCTAATAAAAGAGAAAGAGAGAGACTTGTTTTTAGTCAAACTCTGTATTTTTATAATCTCTTTAAATTAACAAAAGAGAGAAACTTTTTATCCCAAAAAGTTATATAATTAAAACTTATATAATTAACTTGATAAATTATTATCTTAGGAATGTGTTATATATATTGAATGTATATTTTTAATTGTATCGCAAATATTGTTTAATATTTTCCAAAACTGGAAAAATCATAATAATGACAATCGTATATAAAGAAAATTCATCGGCATCAAAGCTCAGCAAATAATTATAAATAATCGCGCGTTAATAATCTAAATTTTTCACCGCTATATTCGAGAATCGATAAATAAAAGGATTATATCTTGTCCTTAGAATTACTACAGGAATTTGATCGCGCGGACGATCTTTATCAAAAGAAAAAAAAAAAACTAAATTTTCGGCCTACTTTTGCCGCGGAATCGATACCCTTGCCATTGAATGATTTTGATCCGTTTACACGGATGTTGTTTACACGCACGTCATCGTGCGTTGCTTCAATGAAGCACGAGTCGGACGGAGAAACGAGGGGGAGGCAAGCAAATTGGGATAAAGCGCTCCGATTTTGCATTCCCCCTCTCTCTCTCTCTCTTCGTTGAGATATATATTCTTTATTTACGTTGCTTCACTGACGTGAGAGAGGTTGCACCGAGTTACTGCTGCGCAGTACTACTCGGAGAGGCCGTATATCGAATGGGAAATATACTCTTTTTGGAGACTGTACCCGCACGCTATTATCTCCTAGCGGTGTTTCAGAGGAACCATAGGCGTCGCCATCGAGGAAGGAATCGCCGCTTCGGGATATATACCGGCATCTTCCCCTTAAACATCCCACTACCATGCCGTCCGCTACTGTTAGCACCACACGCTTCGGCGAAATAAAAAAAAAAGAAAAAAAAAAGAAAGGAGAGAAACAATTAACTTGGACAAAAACGATGCCGAGGTCCTTTGTATACAAAGTTTCGCGCTGACCACGCGTAGCGCGAAATTAAATATTACACATCGCGATGTATTGACGATTTCTATGCTTCGATAATCTCATTAATTTTCATATATATATATATATATTTTTCCAAAAGAAAAAATTTTTAATTTGGTATTTTTTTCCAAATTAAATTTTTTTTTTCCGTATCAGATATTTGAGACGTAATGCAATAATAAAAACCGAGAAAGTAAATAAGTAACACATGCTATAAGCGTCATTTTAACTCGCTATCGAAAAATAGAGAAACACGTGTCAATTCGCGAAGAAAAATTAATTCGATATCGTTCTTTTTAACGCGAATTAAAAAAATGTATAAAAAATCGACGGTATAAAGGGATAAAGTATAAAACTTTGGCGTATAATACGTCGCGAAATAATCGTACGGACGGATAATGCGGATTATAAATGTACAATGATAACGACGGAGCATAATCGCATCGCGATGTCAACGACGCGGCGCGATTTTCCATTATTCCGAGATCCCCGCGCGACGACACCACTGGACCGCCGGTCGGCGGTGCTCAAGCATCCCCCTCGCGCTCCCTATATACAGAAAGGCTCTCTACCCGCCATGCCACGCTATGGCGTGCTGTGCCGTGCCGTGCCATCTTCAGCCGCGTAGCGTGGCTAGTTGTTTCTTTTCTTTATTCCTTTGTCGGAAAGTCGGCGGCAAGTCTCGTTTTTAAGAGGCGGCAGAGAGAAGGTCGGCGAAGAGAAAGAGAGAGAGAGAAGAGGGAGAAGGGGCAGAGGGGAAAGGAAGATGCGGCGACTTGGGCGAGGGGAAGACAGAGGCAAAAGGGAAACGGTGGTCGGCTTAGCGGGGGGTTGCGAGGGAGCGGAGATGACGGTTTCGTGGTGAGGCAGAGAGGGGTGGAGGCTAAGGGGGAGGGAGAGCCCCGCGCTCTCGCTCTCTCTCTTTCTCTCTTCGGCGGTAAGGGGAATAAAACGCGCGGCTCAAAAAACGCGAGTACAGACTAGCTTCGAAATAACGCCGGCAGCGAGCACACTCGCATACATACTCTCTCTCTTCCTCCCTCACCCCCCCCCCCCTTGCTCTCTTTCTACCTGCCTCTGGCTTGTTGAGCTTAAGTGATTTTGTTAGTGATGATCTGTGGCAAACAAGGATCGAGATTGATTATAATTCCAATTGTTCTAGAGCGCCTCGTGTCAATCGACTCGGTCGCTGTGAATAAATATTATTTTCGCTTATTTATATATCGAAGACCGAGAACTCGACGATATTATACCATAGTTTCATTCGCCTAGACGTAAAATGAGAAGACAGCAGCTGAGGACATGAAAGCGCGCCCGCGACATCGGAGCCGCTAATTAAATTCTCGAGAATAAAGCGTGTCACGCTTACCGAGACATCGTCGTCGTCGGCTAACTGTCAAGCGTCGCGCGCAATTGCGTCGATTAGACGATAACGGCGTCAAAAGGGCGAGGTAAATATTTATCGCGAGGGGAGCTCTCTCTCTCTCGTGAAGGGTTGCGAGAAGGGGATAGGGCCCGCGAGATGCACGGAGGCCCCCGACGCGCAGGACAGGATACAGAGAAGGCTATAATACGGTTTTGCCGCTAGCGAGCGAGCGCAGCGAGAGAGCGAACGACTCTCGTTGGTCCAGCGACCGGGGCCGACCAGCAGCAGCAGCACGCTGTGGACTCTTTCAACGTGGCTCGCCGGACGATACCGGCGGGAAAGAGCAAGAGAGAGAGAAAGAGAAAGAAAGAGTAAGACCAGTCCGGTGCGGAGGAACGAACGTACGGAGGAGCCTTGGTCGTGTTACGGCGCGGCGGGAAGGGAGGAGGAGAGGGGGGGGGGCGAAGCGGTCGGCGCGTTTGATCTCAGCCGCGGGCGCCGACAAAGCGCTCGTCTACTCTCCTACAACGGCGAGCTGTCCCGTGAGCGAGCGAGCGAGAGGCGGCATCCGTATGTTGACCGGCGAGGAAAGGAGAGAAAGGCTCGAACGAGCGAGAGCGAGAGCACGCTCGTGGGAGCGAGAAGGATGCAGAGCGGAAAGAAGAGAGAGAGAGGGAAGAGTGTAAGCGCGAACGGTACGACAGAAGAATCGTGCGGGGGTATAAGAAAGGTGAAGAGATCGGGAAACCTAAAGCGCAGGAGAGAGAGAGAGAGAGAGAGAGAGAGAGGGAGAGATCGTCGAGCTGTTACCCCGACGAAGATAGAGGATGGGAGAGAGAGAGAGACACGACGAGATCCGTTCCACGATTCATCGTGCTGTTGCGTTCGCTCTAGCATGGCGTTCCGCGCCACTCCCTCGTAGCGGCGGTATATATATATATATACACACACACACATACACACGTACGCCATCGGGTTTGCTATTAATAAATAATGCTCTCTGTAGTCCGCGTTACAACTAAAATTCCTTCCACCTCGTCGTCTCACAGAGAAGGACGTATTCTCGATTTCGAGCACGCTCGTTGAACTCCGCCTTTCCTTCTGTCCCCGTCCGGCACGACGGACACGCGGTCCGTCTGTCACATCGCAGATACGCATTAATGTTCACGGCCTTCTCTCCGCGTGTATATGTGCATGCGTTTCGTGGGATCGCTGCGGAGGAGAAACGCGTCAATTATTTCACATCGAGAAAAAGTTGCATCGCGGAAAAAGAAAGAAAGAGAGAGAGAGAGAGAGAGAGGCATACGAACTCTCGGGACCACAGATTGTCCGTGGCTTGAGACGAGAACTTTCTTCTCTTAATACGATTCAATTTATAATTAAAAATTAAATCATTTCTAATTACATGAATAATAATTGTACATTGAATAGTAGTTTAAATATTTAATGGGGCCTTGTATGTTTTTTTCTCACTCCTCTTCATTCTCTAATTACTTAATATAAAATCAGAAAAATTTGTATAGATTCTCTGAAAGAAATGCAAATAATATAACACATAATTGTAAAATTTCTAATAGTAATTACAAGTACATAAAATCGTCGATGTTAGCACATAATATCGATTGATACTCTTCGTTTGCTTCGTCAATTATCTTTCGGGAGATGTGTTGTAACTTTACGCATTTAATTTGCGTACACGCAAATAATCGAATTACGCACAATCCCCACCGCGATCGTCGATGAGTCGATGATAGCCATTCGAGTAACGTGTGACACATAAATGATAAGGGGGCCTTTGAAGTGTCCCCGGTTTCTGCGCCTAATAAACCCGACAGAAGCAGCCGCCACGCATTATAAATTACGGTGTTCATTAGGAAGGCAATAGTTGCGCACGGTAATAAGAGGCGTTTAAGCCTGAGAGAGAGAGAGAAAGAACATCTCGAATTAACGAGCAAATGATTCAAAGCGGCTTCTTCGAACTCGAGAGTAATCGGGATCGGCGATAGAGTGTACGATAGCGTGGCGAAAAATTCCGCAAGAGACATAGTTCCTTTCCGCGATATCGAGACATAGTACTTGAGCGACCACACTCCTCGCGAGGGGAGTGTTTTCGTTCATTGAAGACCTTGTGTTCGTTTTGCTCTGAACGTACATGGTACCATGGTCGATTGGACGGCTGCCCAGTGCTCGAAGAAGAAAAATAGAATGCGGCGAGATAAAAGAGAAAGAGAGAGAGAGAGAGATATAGAAAGAGGGAAAAGGAATATTTTTACATTTTAAAATTACTCCAAGTGATTGTAATAACAACGCAATATTAAATAATCAAGTACTTCAATATATCAATGTAGAATGAAAGGATGAAGCGAGCCGCTCGATTTACAATATCATTTTAAATTTATTTATCGCGATCGAAGAGGTAAATATAGACTCAGATAAATAAATAAAAGTATCTTAGGAGAGGTTGACATATTTTTCGAAAAATAATATTACGTAACTTATTTTTATAAAGGTTTTTGCGTAGCTGAAATTTTTAAACGAAGATACTTTTTGCGTTCGCCATGTCGTAGAAATCTTTTGTGAATACGCTAGAAATAATTTATATGTTTATAAAAAATATCTCTTTTTTTTTTTTTTTTTTTTTGCGAAGTCGAATACGAGCGCGACTAGAGGTTCTTCGTCAAAGAGTGCCGTTTGTGAGACCGGTTCTCTCTGATGTTACGATTCGTTCCGATGGTTCCATCTAGCTGTTGGAATTGTTACTTGGCCTTTATCCGATTCTTCAAATATGCCGACATCAGCCGGCACGGATTTGTGAATCAAGCGCGACATTTGTACCACGAGATTTCTATGCTATAAAAGCTTACAACTACGGGAAAAAAACACGTGACGCTTTGAAAAGATTTACATACTTTTCCCCATAACGACATTTAAATGACATTTTAATTAATTAATTAATTAATTTATATATATATATATAAACGGGAGAAAGTCGAAATTTATTTAATGACGCTTTAATTATTTCAAACGTATTTTAAAACAGTAGAACAAAACAATATTGCATACATCTTTTAGAAAAATAAATTATAAGAAAGAGAGAGAAGGAGATTTTTTCAGTAAAAATTGTCTCTTTATTATAAAATAATGTTAAAACAATTATATATTAAATGTATCGGTTTTATTGGAATTTTATAGAACAAGTATTTGCATTTCTTCGAATAACGAAAACAAATATTTTCTTTCATTTGAATCACGCGTTTAACTTTAATTAATTAATTAAAATTATATTTTATATTATTTTATTCATTTAGTTATGCTTAATCCTTGCCTTTCGGCTTAGGACGAACTTCCGGTTACAAAATTTTCCATCCAATCTGAGCTTACATTTAAATTTAAATTTAAATTTAATACAAAAATTATATTTTATATCCCATACAGCACAGAACATTGCAGCAACATTTGCAACATTGCCGCAATGTTGCTACAATGTTGCAATGTTGCTGCAATGTTGTTACAACGTTCTGTGCTGTATGGGATATATCGATTTCTCCAAATTAATTGATTTATAACTCGCGATCTCAGATGGACCTCGCAATTGAAATAAAAATTTATTTATCTCCATTTTCTCACGGATCGATTGCATGCCGATGATACATTATAGAGAGCCAGCTATCCGGAGGTGTTCTGGAAGAAAAAAATGCGGCGTATATTCAGCAAGCGACATTCATTGACCTTTATAAAAGCTCACAACTACGGGAAAAAAACACGTGACGCTTTGAAAAGATTTACATACTTTTCCCCATAACGACATTTAAATGACATTTTAATTAATTAATTAATTAATTTATATATATATATATAAACGGGAGAAAGTCGAAATTTATTTAATGACGCTTTAATTATTTCAAACGTATTTTAAAACAGTAGAACAAAACAATATTGCATACATCTTTTAGAAAAATAAATTATAAGAAAGAGAGAGAAGGAGATTTTTTCAGTAAAAATTGTCTCTTTATTATAAAATAATGTTAAAACAATTATATATTAAATGTATCGGTTTTATTGGAATTTTATAGAACAAGTATTTGCATTTCTTCGAATAACGAAAACAAATATTTTCTTTCATTTGAATCACGCGTTTAACTTTAATTAATTAATTAAAATTATATTTTATATTATTTTATTCATTTAGTTATGCTTAATCCTTGCCTTTCGGCTTAGGACGAACTTCCGGTTACAAAATTTTCCATCCAATCTGAGCTTACATTTAAATTTAAATTTAAATTTAATACAAAAATTATATTTTATATCCCATACAGCACAGAACATTGCAGCAACATTTGCAACATTGCCGCAATGTTGCTACAATGTTGCAATGTTGCTGCAATGTTGTTACAACGTTCTGTGCTGTATGGGATATATCGATTTCTCCAAATTAATTGATTTATAACTCGCGATCTCAGATGGACCTCGCAATTGAAATAAAAATTTATTTATCTCCATTTTCTCACGGATCGATTGCATGCCGATGATACATTATAGAGAGCCAGCTATCCGGAGGTGTTCTGGAAGAAAAAAATGCGGCGTATATTCAGCAAGCGACATTCATTGACCTTTCATACATTAAACGTGCATATACAGCGGTATAATAATGAACCGTGACATAAATTACAATAATTCCATGACAGCCGCCGGTTCGCGAGTCCTATAATTCGATGCTTAATGATAGTGGCAGCCGGTGATTCCCGTAATTTTTGCGTTACCTGTTCGGCTAAAATTCCGAACCGGTATTACGATGACGAATCTCGCTGAGAAAAGTCCTAATCGCGGCCGATAAACGCGAGTCGTTTCTTTCTTGATTAAACCCATCGGATGCATCGTCATATTTGCTGATATATCATTGCTTAATCGATTTAAATCATTAGTCATTTCATAGTCGATTGTGGTCAATTGAATTCAATTCGATGCGGGACTTTCTGTGTGCATGCCAATTTCGCTATATAAGGAAACGACGTAGAGATGTTCTTTCATTCGTAAAGTGCTGTTTTTCTTGTTGATTGCGCCTTTTCGCTTATCTGTTCCTTTCCATTCTCTTCAACATTATCGTAAGCAATGAAATGGCTCGCCATGAAGTTGTGTAATCAATACGCGGATTAAAAAAAATGTGATTAAAAATATTGAGTCGCCATTTGTCGAAAATTTATAGAGCTCTCGAGTATATAATTTTGTAATTGTTTATAATTTGTCAATTCTATTTGGAACTTCATATTTACAACGGATTTTAATGCGAACGTGGTTCACAATAGTGCTATGCCAAGTAATTTTATTTTGCGCCAGTCGTATCTTATATAAATTTAATGCAACTCATTTCGCGCAATTATTTTAATATGGGAAAGTTGTATAGCTAATTTCTAATCCCGAGAATCGGCAATATTTGTATTATTTAAAAAAATAATATTATAAGTAAGATCAAAAAATGGATTAAAAAAATTAATTTAAATCCTTAACAAAAAATTTAAAAATATAAATGCGTAGCATATGATGTAAATTAGCATTAAAATCATAACTCATATTACATCGATTTTTTTTCTTGTAGTTAACAATAGAGAATGAAGGTACTGTTGACCGTGATCGCATTATTTATAAGCGTCGAGGCTCATCAGGGATGGCCATATAATGGCCCTGGTATCGGAAATGGAAGAGGAAATAATCCTGGCCGAGGTCCTTGGGCATATCAGCAGCAACAGAATCAAAATAATATATTTATTTCCGATATCGAATGGACGTGCCGAAATCCGAAAACAAATGACATAGTAATATTGCATATAAAGAGCACAAATTTCACATCTTTCAATTAAATTATTGATTTTTTTATATGAATATACATATACGTGCATTTTCTTAACGAAATATATTTTTTTATACACAATAATTACATTATTTTTTAAATCTTCAATTGCAACGTTTTATGTTCTCAAAAATTTTTAAATGTGACGATTATTTATTATATACAATATTTATTATTTATATTATAAACACATTTATTATTTATATTTTTTGACACTTGGAAAAGATTCCTCGCATTACAAAAATTTCAAATGAAAACAAAAATTTGGAAAGTGAGATAATATATCGATTGAAAATGTACTGGGTTCTAAAACAACATTCAAAATTACAGTATTTTAGAATTAAAACTTGACGGAAAAATAAAAATGACAGAAAACTATGTAAAAATGTAAATATAATATAAAAGAGAATGTGTGAAAGTTAGTTTAAAAAGCGTATTTTTGTAGATGATTATCACCACTGACAACACACGACAACAGCATCCTGGTAGAGGACCATGGTGGCAATGGCAGAATGTTCCACCAGGACATCAAGCGGATCATCACCGGCAGGGAAATCAATGGACACAACCGATTATTATCATTCAACAAGAACCTACAAGCACTAATAATAACCAATTACCACCGCTATTCCCGCAAACAACAGAAACTCCTAACAATAATGAAAACAATTATAATGATGATAATCAACCACAAACCACGCCGCATTATCACGGCGGAGAAGGATTAATAGATATTAGAATCGCACAATAAAAATATAATTTGGAACAATAAATATATGAAGTTTCAGGTTTTGACATGAGATTTATATTTCTTGAGAGGAAATCGCTTTTACGTGGACAAGTCAAATATAAACCGAACTTTTTCAAAATATTTCTAACGCACTAAAGTCATTTTTCTACATAGTTTTCATTAAAATTTAAACATTTTTACCACCGGATTGGCAGTTTTTTTTATTTCGGTATCATAAAAAATAGTAGGACGTGTCCAAAATCAATTGTGCAAACTGAACTTTTTCCCACTACTTTTTATGATACGAAAATAAAAAGACTGCCAATCCGGTGGCAAAAATGCTTAGATTTTAGTGAAAACTATGTAGAAAAATGACTTGGGCGTGCGTTGGAAATATTTTGATTGAATAAAATGTTTTGGAAAAAGTTCGGTTTATATTTGACTTGTCCACATATAATCGTATAACAAATAAAAATAAAAATGTGTACAAATGTATATATATTGAATGATCTATATTTGGACCCATATTTATTATATCACAATTAACATCAATTAAGCAAATAATGATAATCTATTTATCCAATCAATAGCTATTATTATATTAGTTTATTACTGGACACGTCATCTGTATTATAAACATCTTGTACAATTGAATCAGAATCTATAGATAATATCACAAAATAATCACTAAAAACAGTTCATAAAAACACAACATTTAGTTCTTTTACATAAAATTTATATGGAATGAAATACAATTTACTTATATAATATCAAAATATAAATTATATTATGTAATTATTGAAAAAAATCTTCGGAATATAATATCAGATGTTATCATGATACATCTTCGTCATAATATTTTTTTTAATTTGAATTAGATGATTTACATAAAATACACTTGAAACTTTCCAAAATTTGAGGATCTCTGTACGCTATCAAGCCTGCACGGTTGGAAAAATTCGTGCCGATAGGTAAATAATTCACACTCAGATTTTCTGAATTTGGATTTACGATAAACTCTTTAAACTCGATGATGCCTCCGCCTACCGACGATAGAAGTGCTTGTGGTCCGCACGTATCCCACTTAAAAGTGGAACCCTTTGACAAAATATAAGCGGCCGCTTGTCCAAGAGCAACGCTCAATATCTTGTATCCCGCTCCAGTCGCTTCCATTAATCTGAATCCGTTGTTTAGCAGCTTTGATTTTACGTCTGCGTCTTCAAAACGGCTGAGTAAAATGATTTTATCGGCGTTGCCCGTGTTACCTATGGAAGACTTGCTAATGCCACCTCCCAGAAAACCCCAATAACACTTCCCCGTCCACCTGTTCAATTAATACAATATAATAAAATAAAGAACACATTATTCACAAACAAATATATTAATATATTTGTTATTAAGAATAAACAATTCTCTCTCTTCTGTTCATTATAAATAAGAACACAGAATACTTTTAAACAAATAAGAGTAAATATAAATAAGAAAGAGAAAAATTTATATTTTAAATTTATTAAAAGTTTATCATTTCGTTCTACTTACTGAGAATCAATATTGGTGTAAAAAGGTTGATTAACAACACCCAAAACTGGTACCCCTGTACTTTTCTTATATGCTCCAATTAATACAGTGACACAACGTAAGCCACTTAAATGTAAACCAGTCTGCTCGTCCATGACCTCCGTTGCACTTATGTAATCCGCTGTTGAATCTACAAAAGTTCCACGAATTGCTCCACAGGCATGTATTATCAAACTACAAAACAAACAGAAATTCTTACAAGCACTGCGTCTCAGTTTACAGGCCAATTACAATTCTTAGTAACAAGAGAGAGAGACTTAATTTTACCATAATACTGTCCAACTTTTGTATTTTTTCAGTCTTACTCTGAATTAATTTAAATGTACTAAATATCAATTGAATATCTCGTAATCTGAGATTATTGTTTCTGTTGTAGGCCTGTATACTTACCGATCGGATCTATCCAAATACCAAGATCATCAACATTGATGTCAAAATCAGTGGGGATCTCTAACATGATTGGCACATCAGAAAGCTGAATGTCTTTATGGACTTCGGTAGCAAGCAGTTCCGCTGCCACAGCATCGTTGCCCATAACTTTAGTCAACAGTTGTGTTGTTTCTTTGCTGCATGAACAGACTTCAACAATAATAGATTCTCCTAAGGTATTACTGAATACATTAGTTTCCTCGCCTTGTACCAACTTAGCCAGCTCTGGAAACTATTCACAGTGCAATGAGAGAATTTGAAGTATGATAAAAGTAAATCGACATTCTTTTCATTAATATTATAAAAATTTGTTCGTATACTCTCTCTTTCTCTTTTACCTCAATTTCTATGTCGTGTCTAATAGTTTCTTGAATGAGGACATCAGCTAATGTTTTGAAGTCTTGGAAAAAACGTGGATTCTTTTCTTCCAAGGATTTTTCTTGTACCAATAACTGAAATAAAGCTTCCTTCTGTCGGCAAGTCCTGGCAATGTTTGCTGCCTTCTCTGAAGCTTGCAGGAGAACCTTTAGTAATCTGCTACCACTCCTCATTTTTCTATACAGAGAAGATTTATGTAATAAAAATTAATTTGTTAAAAAAGAAAACTGATTATTTTTATTACAAACGTGCGAATCAAAATAAAAAAAGATTAAAATACATTATGTTGCAGATGCAAGATTCCTTACAAGCTCTATTGGATGAAAATTAAAAGTATTGATTTTCTATAAATATACTGCATATAAAACATCTTTGAGCATTAAACAATATCGATAATCATTTCAAAATAGCACTCTTGTATCTCGAAATATTTATAATTTAACTTTATCATAAAAAAATGATCCAGACTATAAAAAAGATATCAAAACCAATATATATACAAATATTAAATTATAAAAACAGAGAATTACTATTTTGTAAATACATTCGGAAATTTAAAAATTGCAAGTGTAAAATCATAAATATTTTTTATATGTACGCGGGATAGCCTTAATAAAAAGATATCGCAAATATTTATATATGACTTACCTAGTTTAATATATAAACGAGCTAGAGAAAGGAGAGAAAAAAGCTAATTTGTACAGCATATACACACTACACCGCGATTACTTCCTCTGACTTCCTCTCTGACGTATCTGGAGAGATATGCACGCACGTATACGTCAATCGAAATATGTCATCATACTTGCGCAGTGACAGGTGACAGGGATACACCATACTACCATCTACCTAACTACCATACCATACATCGCGGATACGATGCGCGCCGCTGCTTATTAAAACTCGCGGCTCATTTGAATATTAAACGACGATTTATAATGCACATTTGCGCTGGCATGAGTATAAATAGCTTCTCATCTTATATGTACATTCCATTTTAAAATGCGAAGGATATCGTGCGCGAGTAACATCGATAAACAAACAGGTTTCATGTAACATATGAATATATGTATATATATATATTTATATATATATGGATATTTTTCTCCTTATATGTTGTACAGCGATCATTTGTGAAAATTGAGAGATGAGTTGTGGAAGAACAATTAATTTGTAGATATTAGTAATTTTCACTATATTGTAAATGAGAAAAGAAAAAAATGAAGTTGAAGTTTTTCAAATTTTAATTCCTGAAGTTTTTATATACATTATTTATGTATACCTCTCTTGCCTATCATATTCTCGTGATATCTCAAACTTTAAATTTGTGTAATTTAAAATTCCAGAAATTCTTAGGATTGTAGCTTTTTTAAATTTCAGTTTACGCTATCTTTTTGCTGATTATATTCTCGAAAACTTAAGGTTTCTAATATCAAAGATTACAAAATCGCGAAATGAAATAATACTCAATTTTATTTTTATCGGAAAATAATTGATTCGGGAAAAAAAGAGAGAGAAAAAAGATTTGTCCCTGCCAAAAATTTTAAATATTAATCCAGTATATAAAATCTTCTCAAAATTGGTAAAGGTACTGAAATTTCCAGCAGGGAAAAGCCTTCTCTCTCTCTTTCTCTCTCTTTCTCTGGTAATAGTACCTGAAGAAATATAAAATCTAGTAAAAAAAACTATCCGCGTAAGCATAGATCTTATATACATAAGATCTATAGATGTAAAGCTCATATCATAAAAATTACAAAAATGAACGAATTTACTAGAAAACTTATAATTTCATTGGTCCAAACCTAGTAAATTCGCTCATTTTTGTAATTTCCACTCTCACTTGAATTATAGAATCGATACCCAGATTATGCATTGAAGATTGAGATTGAAGATCGAAAATTGACCAATCAAAAGAAAGAAATTTGAGTTATAGTTTAATCGGTCGGTTGTAGACCGACCGGCAGAGGTCTCCACAGTCTCTCCTATGTTTGTATGGGGTATACATGTATACATACGTAGTATCTCGCGCGAATGCGCGGTACGAAATCCGCAATACGCGTCTATGCGCAGCGCGCGTCGACGCCGAGAGGGGCGCCGCGATAAACGTGGAACGAGAACGACCATGTGACCGGCGGCCGGCCAATCAGCTGTTTAGCTTTGTCGTGCCGCCAAGCTCATTTCCAGTCCGTGTGCACGCGGAAGCTGCGGGTACCGACTGGCCGCAGGATATAGCGCGAATATTACGGGCCCGTGCGAATTATGATCGGCCGATCGCGTTAAAGGGAAACGCCGAATTTCCATTACTGACGGTTCGGATCGGTCGCGGGACGCCACGCGAATCACAAACCGTCGCAAATGCTTTTATATGCGGGGTCGCCATTTTGGTGATACGGCGAGCCGACGTGCCGAGCAAAGTGTAGGCCCTATGATCTTTTTATTTCCATTTTCTGCACGTCCCATCCGCGAAATCGTCCTCAGCCGATCGACGGCCCAATAACGCCGGACATGACACAGCAAAATAAAACCATGAACTTCTTAATA